GTCCATGAGGCTGTCTTAAACCAGCTTGGGCAAGCCCGGACCAGCCTTGGGGTCGAATTGATGGCTTGTGGTTGCCAGAGGTTCGTCGGCCATCTTGAGCCCCCCTTGCAGTCCATTAGTCTGCCTTGGGCCAGCTTCGTCAAGCCCAGCCTTGGGCTCGAATTGTGGTCTGTGCTTGCCAGATGTTTTTCGGCCATCTTGAGTCAGATTTGCAATCCATTAGGCTGTCTTGGGCCAGCTTGGGCAAGCCTGGACCAGCCTTGGTGTCTATTGTGGTATGTGCTTGCCAGAGGTTTTCCGGCCATCTTGAGCCAGATTTGCAGTCCATTAGGCTGTCTTGGGCCAGCTTGGGCAAGCCTGGACCAGCCTTGGTGTCTATTGTGGTATGTGCTTGCCAGAGGTTTTCCGGCCAGATTTGCAGTCCATTAGGCTGTCTTAAGCCAGCTTGGGCAAGCCCGGACCAACCCTGGGGTCAAACGATGGTCTGACGCCCACGGGCCCGCGCTTCTTGACTTTGAGAAACATTACGCCCAGCTTGCTGATGGCCTACACCCAGTCCACCCGCGAGAAGGACATCCACCCAACGGTGGCCAGTCCAACTGAGACCAGGTGAGCCAGCTTGTGTCGAAGAAGGAAAGGCGGCATGGAGATAAACGTTCGGAGGGCCGCGCAGATTTCTTGGATCGGCGCTGGGCCCAGCGACGACCCAAGAAATTTGCGTGGAGCTCCGATTGTTCCTGTTTACTCCGCTGTTCCTTCCTCGGCTGTAGTGGAGCACGGGCAGCAGGCTTTTGGGATGTGTTGACCTCAGGTGCAACATTACAGCCGAGACGCTGAAACGAGGAACACGTTGGATTCGGAAGGGCTCGATGTTCCTTGCGTCCTCCCGCGGTTGTCCCTCTAGCCCTTCTCTCAGAGCGTGAATTACCTACCCCGCTTTCGCTTCCAGGCAAAACCAAGTCATACCACGCGCCTCCCCGTTGAGCGGCCTGACCAGTGCGGGCCGTAGTTTGGCATCACTTGGTAGCTCTTGGAACCGAGGGTGGTCAAAAGCGAGGTAGGTTCGTTTGCCCCCTATTCTCGTGCACCCAGGGCTTTTTGAAGCCGCAGGGGGGCGTCGTTCCCTATTCAGCGTGCCTTCTTTCGGCAGCCCGAGTGTATGGGGGGGGGGGGGATCGGCTCAGGGGGAGTTGCGTCGACCCCCGAGAGAGAGGAGGAGGAGGAGGAGGAGGAGGAGGAGGAGGAGGAGGAGGAGGAGGAGGAGGAGGAGGAGGAGAGGCGTCTGGCCCAGGCAGGGAGCCCGACCCTAGGCGTGCCTTCAGAGAGGCCGCGACCGACAAATTCTTCACTACGGCCAAGGAAGCTCCTTGGCATAGGCGCCAGCGCTTGAAGCGCACCAGCGCCCGCCTGATTCTTGCCCTTTCCAAAGCTCGATCCCTCCTTAGGAACCACCACAGTTCCCCAATCTTTGCGATGAATCGCCAAGGAGGCCCCCAGCAGACATGGGACTGCGCGTGTGGCAGGTTTGTCAAGGGCCACCATTGGAAGTGTCTATGTGGTCGTCATTGGAGTCAGCGAGTTGTCCCTCGAGGCCCTGATCAGGAACGGCCCCGCGCGTCCAGTCGGACGCGGCAGACCATCCGTCAGGAGCACCAGCAGAAGGAGTTGAAGCGGGAAGAGCAAGAAGTGAAGCAGCTCATCGGCAGGGTAGCGACGATGAAAAGATCGGAAGCGACTGAGGCAATGCGTTTCTTGGGGTACGAGCAGGTCCCCACGGACGTGCCAGGAATCAAGTCGTACAAGACGAGGACGAAGCAGCGCATGTTCGAGTTGGGAAGGCTCATCATCATCAGTCGCAAGGCCGGCAAAGATGATCCACAGGGTTTCGTACGTGAGATATCGTGTCTCAAGTACATGATGAGCACGTGCGAGAAGCTCAATGACCAGCTAGCCGAGTTGAAGTCGAAGCGAGATAGGTGTCAAGAGCACATTCGCAACCTCTCGGTGAAGCTCGGAGAGTTACAGTCCGACTACAAGCAGTCAGAGACGGACCTGTATGCTTGGCAGGCCGCGATAGACGAGTTAGAGGAGCTGGAGGACTACATGGTCGGAGAAGATGCGCCAGGAGCCCGTGGCTTCAGCACATTCATCCCGACGATGCAGATGGGGGCGGATCCGCGTACGGAGAGGACGACATTCCCACCGCCGCCACCAGCCCCACAGCAGCAGTGTTCAGGAGGCCCCGTGCCCATGCAGCAGTGCAACATGGGATTTCCGCCATCCATGCCACCACCGCCTCAGCAGAGAGTTGGGCCGCCAGTTCAGCAGCCACCAGCACAGCAGCCACTGCCCCCGAGTGCTGAGGTGCAGGGGATCGGTGAGATGATCAAGGTACTCATTAAGAAACAGCAGCAGACGGACCATCAGATGGCCATGTTGATTGGCCACATCACGGCGACCAGTGCGAGTGCGTCGGCGGAGGAGTACGAGAGGGCCAAGTCGGAGGAGGGGGCGCACGGCCATCAGCAGCCGCCCATCGAGGTGCAGGCCAGCCCGACGAGCATCCCCGCGGCCCAGCCCGACACGCCCACGCCCGTGGCGGACCCAGGCATCGAGCCCACGGAGGTCGCAGAGGATCCATACGGGACACAAGGGGCCAAAGCTGATGCTGAGCTGATGCCAGGCCCTCAGGATATGCACTCCCCTTTTTTATCCCCTACCCAGCCCATGCATCCGACCCAGGGGATAGAGGGCCCGCTCCTGGCGCCGCCCGTGGGCCCTTCGGTTTTTATGACCCCCCCAGGGGGCAAGAGGAGCCCTACAGCGCATACAGGGGAATCGCCGCCGAGGAAAGATCCACGGCAGAGCGAAGAGTAACTTTCGGGGAGTGCATGATTAGAGCCTTTCACCCTGGAGAAAAGTTGACCTCATCCTCTCAGAGTTCTAGGTTTCCGTTTGTCCCCTCTTCTCCTTACCCCAGGGAATTAAAATCATGTTTGAAGGCCGATTGTGGATCGCAGGCTCTAGTTTCACAGGCCCCTAATACAACGCAGCGCGAAGTCAGCACAGATCCGTCCGTGGGGATCCATAGACGTAGATCTGATGGCAACATGGGAAGGAGTGGGGAGGATCACGGTCGGGGGGAGACGGCACGTGACCAGGCCAGCCTGGTCGATCCTGATAGGGATTTACTGTCCGATGCCCACGAGCTCGGACCACTTTTGTCTACAGTGGAGATTGAGGACCAGCGCCCTTGTTACAGCGAGGAAGTGCAGGGGTCATCGCCACGAGCATCCTTGTCGGTCAATGGGGAAGGGGACATGGGTCATATGTCCCCTCCCCACTCTTTTGAAGCTAGTCCTGATCAATCAGGAAGTTCCGAGGAGCATGCGGGCAGCAGTGAGCCCACAACCTTGCTTCCTTCTCCTCCTACGCACTTAAGGTGTCACTTCGAGCGAGGACCGACCATCCAGGAACTTGTCACCTCTGTGGCGGCTATGTCTTGGGTATTCGGGCTTCCTCAGGATCTACCAGTGGAATCTTCTTGGGCTCTAGGGCTCTGTCCTCCGAGGGACTCCGTTTGGGACGAGGTCTCGTACTTTACCGATGGTTCGTTGCGACATGGGGATGACGCTTCTGGGGCCTGGGCCGCGGTCCGAATCGGTGCAGATCACGTGGGGTGCTCGTTCCAGGGTGTGTGGGCGGCCCCCTTCTTGAGTTCCTTTCTGACCCCGCGCGGACGGGGCGGGCTGGACAGCACGGATGTCGAGTGCGCAGCCGTCGTCTGGGTTTTGATGGCGATCATCAGCGACCAGCACCACCCCCCAGCGGTCATTCACACGGACTCGCAGAACGTGTGCGACTATGTCTACGGTGCAGCTACGGTCTCGGAAAATAACAAAATTGCATGCATGCTCGTGATCATGTTTGACATAGCCTTGACTCGCGCCAAGGAGAGATGGCCTACACACGACCCTCCCCCGTTGAGGATTTGCCACGTCAAGGGACGCGAGGGGCACCCATGGAACTCCCTAGCAGACCACATCGCGGGTCTTGTTGGTTCAGAACAATGGGGGCCGTGTTTCGTTCCCCCACTTTGGGCCGAGGCCACTAAGCATGGGCCTGCTCGCGAATGGGAGTGGCTGGAGCGCCCGGCTCAGGGGCTGGCCCAGGCGTACCCCACTCCTTCGGTTCAAGGTTTTTGTGCGACCCCCGTGGCGTCTGAGGCTTCTGACGACCTGGGACATCGGCCCCCGCTCAAGTCCTCCAAAAGCTCCCACGCTTTGAGCATCAAAGTGGCCTCCTTCAATGCCAAGAGCGCAGCTGTTGCCAAGAGAAGGGGTAGGAAGGGCAAGCTCCGCTTCGCTCGCAATTTGGCTATCAAAACCCAGCTTGACCAGGAGGGCGTTCTACTGGCTGGGGTCCAGGAGGCCAGAAACCCACAGGGCGTTTACTCCTCTGGTGCGTACTTTGTGCTTTCTTCGGGGCACGCGTCTCACGAGCTTGGGTGTGAGCTGTGGGCTAATACTAGGATTTCGTACGGCACTTGCAAGGGGAAGCCCCTGTTCCTTGAGAGAAGGCACTTTCGCGTTATTTCCGCCAGCCCCCGATGGCTCCTGGTTGCCTTGAGTGCTCCTGGGTTAGTATGCAATCTGCTGGTCGGGCACGCTCCTCACTCAGGCGCTGGGGCTTCTGAGAGGGCTGCATTTTGGGACTCGATCCAGGGGCTGCATGACAAGTGGGGCACCGATTTGTTTCCTGGATGCCAATGGCAGGGTGGGAAACCTGCCATCGGACGCCGTCGGGAGCGCCGGCTTCGCTCAGAAACAGGATGAAGGGGGAGAGCATTTACACACCTTCCTGCTCGCCTCAGAGCATAGAGCTGTCAACACATGGCTTGGCAGTCCAGACGACTGGACGTGGCAGTCGCCACAAGGGTTGAGGCATCGGATTGACTATGTCTCAGCGAAGACATGGCTTGCCAACCACGCCCTCACATCCGACGCGTTTCACGACATTGATAAGATTACGACACATGTTGACCACCAGCCAGTGATTGCTACGTTTGCTTGGCAGGCTGCTCAGGTACGCCAAATATCGTCAGGAAAGAAGCTTGACCGAGAGGCTTATAAGGACCCTCTGAAACTCGAGGTTTTCAAGCAAGAGCTTCGAGGGATCTCTGTAGTCCCCTGGCAGGTCCCTGTCTCAGAGCATCACGTATGCTTGTCTACAGGGGTCATGAGGGCAGCTTCGAAGGCCTTCGGGGTTGCCCCTCGCCGACCTAGGCAGCCGTATGTCTCTCAGGCTTCGGTTGATCTTATCACCGCCCGTCGAGGGGCCACCAGAGCCTTGAAAAAAGTTGCCCCTTTTCTGGACCAACAAGGGCCTCTGTACGGTGACGCGCTTTCCCACTTTTGCGGCAGATGGTTATCGGGGGATATCCTGGGGCTTGCTATGCTAGAGGGAGCGCAATTCTGGAGGCCTCACTACGATCTTATGGCTCAGGTGTTCCGAGGATGGGCCTCTGGCAGGCTTAATTGCTACGCTGTAGTGTTCGGGCTTCAGCGTTTTCTGATTGACACGGAACAGCTCGTGGCCAAGGCATTGGAGCAAGACAGGTGCAATCACCTTGAGGCCCAGGCTGACACGATTGCCGAAGCAAGGGATTTCGGGCTTCCCCGCTCGGAATGGTCAAAAACCAAGGTTTTGATGCAGTTTGGAGGTCGCCCACCCAAGATCCCCACCACCTTTCCCTACTCGACCACTGAAGACGGCACGGCGCTGTGCACGGAGTCAGACGTGGCCAACAACCTTCAGCAGCACTTTGCCAAAGTTGAGAGAGGCAAGTTCGAGGATGCTGAAGGGATACAAAGACACTATAATGATATGATCCCACTCCTTCCAGATGAGGCTCCTCGGGACCTGGAGCTATTTGTCTCGAAGGTTGGATTGCTAGCGTTGATGAGGGGTATCCAAGGAGGGAGGGCCCCTGGTCCTGACGGTTTTTCCCCCCGACCTGCTCAAGCTTGCCCCCCTCGAACTGGTGGAAATCATCCACCCCCTCCTCACCAAGGTCACTATGACCACTAGGGAACCCCTGGCCTTCAAAGACGGGCGTGTTGGCACATTTTTCAAGGGGAAAGGCTTGATTGCCTTGGCCGCCAACCAGCGCAGCATTTTGATGACTAACACGATTAGTAAGATACATCACCGACACCTCAGGTGCCTTTCCTTGGACTATTTGCATGCTGCGCTGTTGGCCCAGCAATGTGGGGGGTTACCTGGTAGATCGTGCGACACTGCTGCGCATTTTGTCAAGACCTTCTGGGCGGCCTCTGAAGCGCGGGGGGTTTCATGTGGGTCCCTGTTTTGTGATCTTACGGCTGCCTTCTACTCCACTATCCGGCAGCTGGTGTATGATTTACCAGGTGAGGGGGGATGCTCAGTGAAGTCTTGGAAGAGCTCCCAGTGCCTCCAATATTAGCTGCGGGCGTTCGTGCTCAGCTGATCACAGGCCCCATCTTTGATCAGACTATTGAGAAGCCCCATCTAGTCGCCCTACTACGGGAGGCTCAAAGGGGGGCCTTCTGGGCCGTGGGAGGAGCTGATGGATACGTCATTCCCCGCACAGGGTGCCGCCCTGGCACCGTGATGGCGACAGACGTGTTTAATATTGCTTTCGCTAGCGTTCAAGAGGAGATAGAAGCCGAGATGGAAATGAGAGAGATTCGGTGGCTTCCCACCCCCTCTGTGCGAGTATTCTCCTCGGCGGTCGAACACGATGAAGTGTGCGCTTCAGTCTCTTTCGTGGACGACCTCACCCCCTCCGTGGCCTCCCCTGATCCAGCAGAACTCTTACAGATGTTAGGGGAACTCATCGATATTGTTTTTGCGGTTTGTGCTCGTCACGGGCTGTCCTTAAACCCCAACAAGACCAAGATTATGCTGAGATTTCGGGGGCGTGGCTCACAGGCGGCCCATCGGGAGGTTTTCGATCAGGCGGAGCCCTACGTAGCTTCCCCCCAGTGGAAAGTAAAAGTCGCCGTCGTGCGTTCACACAAGTGCCTGGGGGTAGTCCTCGCTGGCACTGGATCTGAAGGGCTGGAGATTTCTGCGCGTTCTATGTCTGCCAGGGCCGCTGTCAGGCCCATCAAGGCCACCGTCGCTCCCCGCCCCTCCCTTCCTCTCCGTGCCAAAATCTTGTACACGGAAGCCTTCGGATCCAGCAGATGTTTTTATGCCTCATGTTTATGGCGCCCCATGCCACAGGCCGTTCAATCTAGAGTGCGGAGTTGCCACGAGTTGTTGTATCGCTGCGCGCTTGGACTTCCTGCCAGCAACTCGCCCGAGCACCATCTGTCGTATTGGGATGTTTTGGCTCGTGCGGATCGACTTCCCTGGGATGCCGTTGTTCATGTCTCCAGGCTGCGTTTCCTAGTTAGGATGTTCAAGTTCGCGCCGCGATACTTGCTGACCCTTCTTGACGTCTCCCTCCTGCATCGGAGAAGCTGGGTCTCGGCTTTGGCCGCGAGCTTCGATTGGTTAGTTTCTTTCATGGATCCTGATTCGGTCCCTGGGACGGGGGGGCTCGACGAGTGGCTAGCTGCACTTCAGATGGACCCCCAGCGCTTTCGGGCCACAATCAAAACAGTCATCCGCAGAGCGAGAGAGTGGTGGAGTGACCGACACCTGCTCCACCTGTGGGACATCAGGGTCCACGAGGCGTTAGCAGGCACGCCCATGGACGTGGACGCTGTGGACGTGGTGACATCCTACATGTGCTACGAGTGCGGCCAGCTGTTCAAGTCAGAGCGCGCACTGCGCGCTCACAGGGGAAAGCAGCACCCCATCCCCACATCCCCAGCCATGATGGCCGTTGGCACCTGCTGCTCTATTTGTGGGTGGGACTACCGTTCTAATGGGAGGTTGTATAAACACCTAGCTAGGTCCAAAAGTTGCTTCCGAGGCCTTGTGGCCTGTGGTGCGCGTCCCACTCAGGATGAGGTCGATGAGGCTCGGGCTACCCGGCGTTGTGAGCAGCAGGCCAACAGGGCCAAGGGGCTGACGGATGATTTCGCCCATTTGCCCAGGGTTCGCATGATTGGACCAGTCAGAGGGGTCCGTGTCTTGGAGGAAGAACCCCTCGTGGTCGAGCCCGTGGCCCCCCCCCCGCCTCCTCCTGTCCTTCCTGCCTTCTCTCCCGCTCCGCCCCCCTCTCGCCCTTTCCGCTTTCTTCTCCACCTCTTCTCGGGCCAACGGCGTGCTGACGACGTGCAGGATTGGATTGAGAGACTGGTTGCTCAGTACCCCACCCCGGTTGTTGTGCTCTCTATTGATATAGCTAACAGTCCAAAGTATGGTGATTTAAGTGATGTTTCCACGGTAGCTTATTGGTTACGTCTTATGGAGCAGGGGTGGGTTGCTGGGGTTATCGCAGGCCCCCCCTGTGAGACTTGGAGTGCTGCTCGCCATAACCCTGTACCCCCCGAAGCCGTTGGGCCTCACCCTCGGCCACTGAGGGCACCTAGTGAGCTCTGGGGGTTAAAGTACATCACTCCCAAGGAACGAGAACAGGTCGGGGCGGGGAATGCCTGGCTGAGAACCACCATTGAATTTCTGATTTCCGCTTGGAAGCTTGGGCTACCAGCGATCATGGAGCACCCCGCCCCGGCCGAGCATCGACCTAATGTTCCCAGCAGTTGGCATCTCCCTATTCTTTCAAAGCTGGCCCGACAGATGGGGGTCAAACTACACAGGATTGACCAGTGCATGTTTGGGCTTTGTGCGAAGAAACCTACGGCCTTGATGGGTGTTCATGTCCCCAGGCTCAATCAGATGATTAATGAGTTGCCGCACCAGGGGAGATGCCAACACAATGCGCACGTCCAGGTCCTTCAGGGCCGAGATTCTTCTGGGGCTTGGCAGACTGCGCGGGCCAAAACATATCCCTCGGAGATGTGCCGTTTGATGGCCATGAGCGTTTTCGTCGCTATCCAGGACCAGTTCGGGCCCGATCCTGGACCGCCGCCTTGGGACCTCGGGGAGGAGTTTGAGCCCTTCTTTGTGCCCCTGGATCCCTTCTATGATTTCAGGCGTAGTCGTGATTTCGCCCAAGTGACACCACCATCTCCCTCCTGACAAGCACATGGTGTGCGCGGCACCGCTAACTCTCGCAGTACCCTCGGGGAAGGTATGTGTTTGACTGTTTTTTGTTGACGCCTGGGGTGTGCGCGGCACCTTAACTCGCTGTCCAGGTTTGTCACGTTTCGCTGGCGGTGTGCGCGGCACTCTAACTCGCAGTAATCAGGTGAAGGTATCTTTTTCGATCCTCAGTGGGGGGATCAGTAACCTGATGAATGGCCAGCCCGTCCCTGACTACATGTTGGTGGCGCCCTCCCCCAGTGGCGTTACTCACTAAGCTGCCGTACGCCTGGGATGTTCGACCTGCCCACGTCAGGATCGGGGCATTTAAGGTGGCCTTGATATGGTGGTGGGATCGAGCTTTGGACATATGGGGGGGGGGACTTTAGTTTCACCCGAGAGGCCTGCCCGCTGCCGCGATCGCTGCCTCGCCGCTTTTCTCTCTGCCATCGCTGCTCTCTTCTAGCTTCGTTTGGGATTCAGACTCATTCCCTTATGGCCGACCGAGGAGGAGGAGGAGGAGGAGGAGGAGGAGGAGGAGGAGGAGGAGGAGGAGGAGGAGGAGGAGGAGGAGGAGGAGGAGGAGGAGGGAGGAGAAGTGCACTGCACAGGCTGCACCGCACAGGGCGCACATCGAGTCTGCACGAGCCCACTGCTCGGAGCCCACGCCGGCAGACACTGCTGCCAAGCAGCAGGCCGTCGCAGCTGCCTGTGCGTGCCGTCGCAGCTGCCTGTGCGTCTCGCCCAGCGGCGCAGCTGCTGCGCCACACGCACACCAGCAGGGGCGAAATCTCGAAGGGGGATCCCTCGTTTCGCCCCCTGCCTCAATCAACGGAGTCGTCTTGAGCCCCCTCAGGAAGAGGCGGAGGAGCAAGAGGAGGAGAGGGGTAGCAACCAGGGAGGGGGGAGAAGGAGGCGTGGGAGGAGGAGGAGGAGAGAGGAGGAGGAGGAGGAGGAGGAGGAGGAGGAGGACGAGGAGGAGGAGGGGAGGAGGAGGAGGAGGAGGAGGAGCACGAGGAGGAGGAGGAGGAGGAGGAGGAGGAGGAGGAGGAGGAGTAGGAGGAGGAGGAGGAGGGGAGGAGGAGGAGGGGGGGGAGGGAGGAGGAGGAGGGAGGAGGAAGGAGGAGGAGAGGAGGAGAGGAGGAGGAGGAGGGAGGAGGAGGAGGAGGAGGGGGAGGACGAGGAGGAGGAGGAGGAGGAGGAGGAGGAGGAGGACGAGGGGGGAAAGGAGGATCCAGAGGAGGATCTAGAAGAGAGGCGAGATCCCTGTCGACAGTGTGTGGGCGTCGCCCGCGACCTCGCGCCGTCGAGGGGCCTCGGCTTCTTCGGGGCCCCTGGGTGCCTCCAGTGGCCCCAAGAGGTCTTCGGATATCCCCAGAGACTTCTATCGAGGCCGCCGAAAGCCTTCAGAAGAACGAGGCACGTCCAGAGCCAATCATATTCTCGCTTCTCCCCCCCTTCTCCTCCTCCCCCTCGCTCCTCCTGGGGGTAGTGGTCAAGACTGGTCCGCTGGCCTGAAAACTTCCACTGCGGAGGCTTCGAGTGCGAGACGGTGTCCCCCGAAGGTGCGGGTCCGCCGCGAAAAAAGATCCTTCTCTTCGGTGTGCGCCTTCTCCTCCTCCTCCTGCTCTTCTGCCTTGGCCCCTGCCCTTCCTCCCCTCCTCGTCCACAGTCCCCCCCTCTTCTTCACACCACCTCCTCCTCCTCAACGCTCCCCCTCTTCCATACTGCTGGATTCGCACCGCGCGCGCGGATCACGAGTTCTCGCTTCGCCCACGGCGTGCTGCGCCACGCTCCCAGCTTGCGGCAGATGCCTCGAGATCCTCTCGGCCAAGCAGCCACGTGTGGCCTGCCACTGCGCCGAGACAGTGCCAGGCTCTGCGCGAGAGGCGGCGGAGGGGGAGGAGGAGGAGGAGGAGGAGGAGGAGGAGGAGGAGGAGGAGGGGGGAGGAGGAGGAGGAGGAGAGAGGAGGGGAGGGGAGGAGCAGGGCGAGAGGCTGCTCCCTCCTCCTCCTCCTCTTCCTCCCTCCTCTCCTCCTCCTAGCTCACTCACTCACCTCCTCGTCCTCATCTGCTCCATCCTCGTCCTCCTCTCCTCCTCCTCTCCTCCTCCTCTATCCCTCTCCCTCTCCTCCTACTCCTCCTCCTCCTCCCCCTCCCTGCCGAGACAGTGCCAGGAGAGAGAGGGCGCCAGAGCTGCGGGGACACCGGCGGTGAGAGCATCGAAGCTCTGCGCCCCGGCGCCGAAGCACCACGCACGCCTTGGGAGGAGGCCCGCGTGGCACGGCCCTCACGGCGCGGGGCTCCTCCTCCTCCTCCTCCTCCCTCCTCTCTTCCCTCTCCTCCTCCTCATCTCCTCCTCCTCCTCCTGCTCCTCCTCCTCCTCCTCCCCCTCGTCCTCCTCACCATGTTTCATCCATCCTCCAATTTTCCTTCGGTTTCACGCAGGGGGGGTCACACGCAAGAGTGGCCTGTGGTGCGCCGTTTCATGAAGGCGCGAAGGGTCACATCCAAGCGCGCAAGCCGCTGCTGCTGCCGGGCGGGCCCGCTTCGGCCAGCTGAGGCAGCGCGAGCTCACGAAGAGCCGCCGCCCGGCCCACGGCAGGCCGAGGCTGCTCCGCTCTGCACGAACGAGATGGGCACGGAAAGAATGGGCACGATGCCCAACAGCAGTTCCTGCTCGTCTTGAGCAGGACTCGCTGTCCGCGCCGCCGCGGCCTGTGTCCATTTGAGACAGAAGGCCGCCTGCCTAACAGCGGCCGCTGTTGGTTTGGGACAACATTTGTTGTTGGGCATTGTACCCATTCAGGAGGGGAAAAAACACACAGACACAATGATTCGTCGATCCCCAGGAGAATATGCGAAGGGGAAGACAAAACCAGATAATATAGGAACATTTAGGGAATATCTTTACTTGTGTGTGTGTTAATTTGTGTGTTCTGGGGCCCCTTGACCCATTTTTTCCGTACCCGTTTCGGGCGTCCAAATCCGCGGCACAGCCGCGCCGCCCGAGGTGTGCGGGGGGCCTGGGCCGCCGGCCCCGCCCGCGGGGCACGGAGGTGGCGCTGCCCGACCAGTTCTGGGGCAGGCGCCCGCGGGGGACGGGCGTGTGGGGAAGGCCTCTCCCAGGGGGCCACACGCGAACCCTACCCCTACCCCCCACGATTTCTGAGGGGGAGGGTTGGGTTCACTTCGTTCGGGAGCTCCCGAGCGAAGTGAACCCCACCCTCCCCCTCAGAAACAGCGTGTGGGGAAGGCCTCTCCTAGGGAAACAAAAGAGTGGCATAAAGATACAAAACTCGGAGGTCCGCGCGGATTCCTCGGATCGGCGCTGGGGCCCCCCTCCCTGGCGCGCGGAGCGCGCCTGGGGCGGCGCCGGAGGCGCCGCCGGGGGGCCCCAGCGCCGATCCGAGGAATCCGCGGGGACCTCCGAGTTTTTAATTGTTATGCCACTTTTGGTTTCCCTATCTCCCTCCCCAGACCCCGTCCGCCGCCTCCGACGCGTCACCACACGCGAACCATACCCCCACCCCCCACGATTTCTGAGGGGGAGGGCGAGGTTCACCTCGCTCGGGAGCTCCCCACCCTCCCCCTCAGAAATCGTGGGGGGTAGGGGTAGGGTTCGCGTGTGGCCCCCTAAGTCTCCCTCCCCAGACCCCGTCCGCCGCCTCCGACGCGTCGGCCAGCGTGAACCGATGGAGCCGTCGGAGGAGAGCCAGCCGAGGCAGCGGCGGTCGTCCCCTGCGTATGTGTCGGTCTTGTCTGGGCCTCCCGGAGGCACCTCGCCGCAGCGGCCGGGCCCGCCTCGAGAAGCGGGTCCGTCTGGAGCTCGGGAGAGGCCCAGAGACAGATTCTGAGCTCCCCCCTCGCCCTCTGCCCCACTCCGAGATCCGAGGTTGCGAACAGCCTGCAGCATCGCGAGACGTCGCGACCACAGCCGTAGACAGACCCTATCTTTCTGCGGCAAGTTTCGAGTCGGATCGATGCGTGATTGGTCCTGGGGCCCAGAGCTTGGCGAAAACGACCGGGCTGCACCGGCTACACGAAGCAGTGGCCCTTCGCCAAGGAGGAGGAGGAGGAGGAGGAGGAGGAGGAGGAGGAGGAGGAGAGGAAAAGAGGGAGAGGAAGCGGAAGAGGGAGAGGGAGAGGAGGAGGAGGAGGAGGAGGAGTGAGGAGGAGGAGAGGAGGAGGAGGAGGAGGAGGAGGCAGAGTGACCTTTGGTGCGGGCCCGATGGGGCCCCCCCCATCGCCGAAGCTCGCCGAGTGCGAGGCGATAGCAGCGGCCTGCGCGCCTGGATGTGGCCCCCACGGCGGCCCCCAGAAGCCGCGCACCAAGAGGCCACTCCTGCGCAGGGTCGCGCTTGCGTGTAGCCGAGTGGCAAAAAAAACCAAAAAAAAATCGCCCAGCAGCATCGCCCAGATCTCGGTGGAATTCCGCCGAGGCGGAGGCCCCGTTGCAGGCAAGCGAGGGGCCTCCCTCCAAACCCACCCCCCTACCCCCCCCCCCCCACCTCCCCCCCTCCCTCGCCTCCCTCCCCATCCCTCCTCCTCCCCCCTCCTCCCTCCTTCCTCCTCCTCCTCCTCCTCACTCCTCCCTCCTCCCTCCTCCTCCTCCTCCTCTCCTCTCCTCCTCCTCCTCATCTCCTCTCTCCTCCTCCTCCACCTCCTCTCCCTCCTCCTTCTCCTCCTCACTCCTCCTTCCTCCTCATCATTCCCCTTTCCCCTCCTCCCCCGCCTCCTCTTCCTCCTCATCCTCCTCATCTCCTGCTCATCCTCCTCCTCCTCATCCTCCCCTCCTCTCCTCCTCCTCCTGCTCCTCCTCCTCCGCCTCCGCCTCCTCCTCCCTGCCTCGTCGCCCTCCCCTCGCATGCCGAACTGGGTCGAGCCCTTCTCGGTCCTCGGCCCCCCCGCGCGCGCCCTTGCCGCGCCCGCGCCGCCCCCCCCGCCCGCGCGGCAGGCGGACTGAGCGCCCCGCCGCGCGCGCGCAGAGGGCGCCCGCCTTCGGGAGCGGGCCTCGGCGCGGGCGGCGTGGCGCTGCGGCGGAGGCCCGGGCCTGCCGCCCCGTGCATGTCGGGGGCGGCAAAGCGGGGGGTGAGGACTAAGGGGGGGGGGGGATATCATCGGGCGGCGAGGTCTATACATATCCACTGCTCCCCGGCCAGGCCCATCCTGAGCTCACGAGCTGTGTATACGCCCTCCTGGCCAAACCAGGAGGGCGTGGCGTATGCACCGCTGCTGGGTTCAGGCTGGGCCTGGCCAGGGAGCAGTGGATATGTATAGGTCTCGCCGCCCTATATCATGGCGGGGGCCATGCTATTTCCCCAGATGTTATGGCGCCTCTTCTTATTTCATTACGTCCCTGGGCCCCCCGCTGGGCCGCGCACATGCCGCCTGTCATGGTTTGCCCCCCCCCCCCCCCCCCCCCCCCCCCCCCCCCCCCCCCCCCCCCCACCCCCCCCCCCCCAACCCCCCACCCCCCCCCCTCTTGAGACACCACCTCCTCTTGGCGTGGCCAGAGCATGGAGGGGCCAGGAGCCCAGGGACCCGCAGTGAATACACACCAAGCCCACAGGACTCCCGACCTTCTTGATCTGTTCTGGGTGTTCGACTTTTTCCCTCCACTTCTCCTAACCTTATTATACCTTCTTGGGAACGGAGGATCACTAGTGTCTGTGTGCTTTTTTTCTGGTTTTTTTTTTTTTTTTTTTCTTTTTTTTTTTTTTATTGTTTTTTTGTTTTCACCTCTTTATTTTTTTTTTTTTTCTTTTTTTTTTTTTTTGTTTTTTTTCTCTCCCTCCTGACGTGCAGAAGCTCTAGTCCCAGACATGTTCTCGCCGTGAACAAACATAGGGGCAGGAGGTTTTTGGCTGCTTTCGGCCCCTGGGAGCCCCCGCCAGGCCCCGTGACTTTGAGAAAAGGTCCGGAGGAAAAGGCGGTCCCACGGGAAAGATTCGGGGCTTCCGGGGGCCGCGTATTGAAGCAAGCAGGACGTCGCATGTCGAGGGTTCGGCCGCCTTCCTGTGCCCTGTCTCCCTAATGAAAGCTGTGCGTAGCCCGCCCAGCTTTTAGCGGAAGAGGTTCGCTCTTACCCCGCAGATCAAAAAGTCGAGGGCTCGGCCACAGAGGGGATTGTTGACATTCTGGTTTGCTTACAAGCTCTTCCCCCCTAGTGAGAGAGTCGGGGCGGTCCCAGTGAAAGAGTCGGGGCTTCCGGGGGCCGCGTATTGAAGCAATCAGGACGTCGCATGACGAGGGCTCGGCCACAGAGGGGATTGTTGACGTTCTGGTTTGCTTACAGGCATTTCCCCCCCAAGTCGGTCCCCACTGGCCTCAACCGGCCCCCCGAGGAGGCGGAGGAGGAGGAGGAGGAGGAGGAGGAGGAGAATAAGGAGGAGGAGGAGGAGGAGGAGGAGGAGGAGGAGGAGGAGGAGGAGGAGGAGGAGGAGGAGGAGGAGGAGGGGAGCTGCCCCAGCTGGCTGCAACAGGCCCGACGGGCAGTCCGGGGCGGTGCTGCCGCCGGCGGCGCCCCTGGGGCGCCGCCCCGTCCCGGGGCTGCAGGCGTGAAGACCGCCCCGGCGGTCTTGTGCTTTTGGCATCGCTCGGACGTGTGCATTTTTCCTTCGTCGGGGGCGGCAAAGAGGGGGGTGATGACTAGGGGGGGGGATATCATGGCGGGGGCCATGATTTTTCCCCAGATTTCGTGGCGCCTCGTCTTATTTCACCACGTCCCTGGCCCCCCCGCTGGGCCGCGCACATGCCGCCGGTCATGATTTGCACCCTCCCCTCTTGGACACCCCCCTCTTGGCCTCTCCCGATCCTTCGGCGAGGGCCATCGAGGAGCATCCTCGATCATTTGGCGGAAAAGCCACGCACGAAACCGACAAAAAACACACAGGGAATGGACGTCCGAGCGCTGGCGGGTGTGGAGGCCAGCCGAGACTACCTGGAGGGGCTGCCTGCGCGCTACCCAGAGCCTTACCTCTGGGGGTCGTACCTCCTCCCCCTCCTCCCTCCTCTCCCTCGTTTTTGACGCTGGGCGGACGTAAGCTGCACAGCTGTTGCGCTCCGATTCCAACAAAAGGAGCGGTGCGAACAGACAGCTGCTGGGGCCTAGAGGCCAGCACATAAAAGGCAGAAAGCTAGTGCGGAACATGAAGGGCAAAGAGTGCAGGAACAAGCGTAGGGGCCCGCTAAGGCATAGAGTAAAGAAGCAGGCTGACAGCGGGGGGGGAGAAGGAGTGCAACCATACCAATCAGTGTGCATGACATGAGCAGGACACCGAACGGATAGGAACCGAAATACGCGTGCAGGCGGGCCTCGTCCTCCGCCTCCTCCCAGAGGCGCCTGGCAGCGATAATGCGAGGTAGTAGCAAACATAGGTGTCGTTGCTTTGTTGAATGGCTCTGAGCGTCTGAGCTCTCTCTTGGGACCTTTTGGGATTCCTTAGGACATCTTGAAGTATTATTGGCGATTCTTGGCTGTGTTGGAGCCCTTCTGAAGCCGTCCTGAAGGGCATGTTGAGCACATTGGAGGCGTCTGAGGGTGGTTTTAGAGGTTATGAGGACCCGGAAGGTGCGCTACGGAGCTCGTGCTTCCACCCCTGGGGGGGGGGCTTAAACATGATTTGTGGCCCCCCCGGGAGGGGGTATAGGGGAGAGGGGACCGGGCAGCCAGACACCTCATGCGTATCCCATTCCCGCCCCAGGCAAGCAGGGGTCGGCAGAGTCCTGCCACACGAAGGCCTCCGAGTGGCCCACAGCGCACAAGGATGAGTGTTCGCTTCTAGCTCTGCGCACCCGCGTTCCTCTTTCGCGGTGTCGGCGTGGCAGCGGTGATTTTTGAAAGAGCTAGCTGTTGTCGGCCCACGAACTGTTTGTTGAGCCCCACCGACGGAACATGCGTGTGGGCCTTCGGATAGAAAAGTTCAGTCCATGGCTTATCACCTAACACGTGGATGTCCCAGAAGTCCGAGTCGAATCAGCTAACGTTCACCTGATTATCCTCTTCGTCGAGACCCCCTGTCAATCCCAGCTCTGTCACATTTAATGTCTTCCTCGGCCCCGACTCTGTTCCTTTCAACTTGCAAAATTCTTCACGCAGGAGGTGTATCGTATTCTATTTTGCTCACCACCGCCATCTGCCCTCGAAATCGACTCATGTTGGATCGCCTGTGGCTCCCTTGCCTCTCTTCCGCCGCGGAGGCACGTACTCTTCGACGCTATCACACAGGATGTGGCGACGAGCGGCTGAGCTTGCGTAGGCGGGCCCGCAGAATTGGTTTGAGCTGAGCGGCTTCACACAGGAAGGCCTTTCTGTACACTTGTCGGAAGGGCTGTGCCCTTTGCTGCCGGACCTCAGGCTGAGCCATCTTGAGGGATGTATATATATATATATATATATATATATATAAATGTATACGTATGTATATATATATGTATATATATACATACATATATATATATATATGTGTGTATTGCACACGTTGGGGCAGGTGTAGGGCCTCCTCGGGCCATCGTGGGACCTTGGGGGTCGTCTTGGGATCGCCTTGGGCCACCTTTGGGGCACGTTGGGGAGTCTTCGGGCTGTCTTGGGGCGTATCGAGCCTATCTTGGGGACATCTTGGAGCCCTCTTTGGGCCCTCTTTTAGGCAATCCTGGGCGATCTTGGCGGGATCTTAGGGGCCTTTCGCGGCCACACCCTGGGGACGGGGCCCTCTTGAAGCGTTCTTGAGCCCTGGGAGCAAAACAGGAGACGGACAAACCACAAATGCGTAGCAGTGTGATTTCTCCGTCGGTGGCCTCTTGGGGCCGCCCTGGGCCATCTTAGAGGCAGCTTGGGGCCATCCTCAACCGTCTTGGGCTCTTTTTGAGGCCATCCTCGGGGCCTCTCGGGGCCGTCTTCGAGGCATCGCCGGGGCCCTCCTGGCTGTCTGGTGGCGTCGTGTGGCAACCCACGGCGGCGAGGAGGCGGAGTCCTCCCTGCCGGGTGTTTTTCAGGAGGGAAGAAAACACACAGACACAATGAATCGTCGATTCCCCAGAAGATATGGGAACATATGGGAAGTGGGGGGGGGAGACAAAAACCCAGAAGATGTGGGGAAAGATGGGGAATTCTTTTATTTGTGTGTATTTCTTTGTGTGTCCCAGGGCCCCTTCAGTTTTTGTTTTTCTGGTGGTGGGGGGGCACGCGGCTCCCTGGTAGAGTCGAGGCGCTCACACAGCGGTACTCCAGATTTCGTAATAAAAGGGAGGGGGGGGTCTCATTTCGAGGGGGGGTCTCTTCCAGGCTATCTTGGAGGGCCTGGCGGGGTCTGGGGACGACGCTTTGGAGGGTTCTCCCACGGGGGGGGGGGGGTCTGAAATGGCTTGTCTTGGAGGGTCCAGACCCCCTCCCTTTTATTACGAGATCTGGAGCATGCTGCTCCTCCCTTTTATTACGAGATCTGGAGTGCCACCTTCGGCTCTCTCGAGGGGCCCCCGAGGGGCTCGGGACTTCGGGCCGTTTTCCGCGGGCCTGGGTCGGGGGGTCTGAAATGGCTTGTCCTGGAGGGTCCAGACCCCCTCCCTGTGATTACGAGATCTGGAGTGCCACCTTCGGCTCTCTTGAGGGGCCCCCGAGGGGCTCCGCGACTGCGGGCCGTTCTCCGCGGGCCGGGGTCGGGGCACCTCTGGTCGTGGCGGAGGCGCGCCGTGGCCGGGAGGGCTCCTCCTCTCTCCTCCTCTCTCCTCCTCCTCCTCCTCCTCCTCCTCCTCCTCCTCCTCCTCCTCCTCCTCTCCTCCTCCTCCTCATTCCTTCCTCCCCCTCCTCTCTCTCCCCCCCTCCTCCTCCTCCTCCTCCTCCTGCCTGAGTCGGCGCCCCTGTGGGCAGCACTATGAGGGGGGCACCTGCGAAACCCTGACCCCTGCCCCACCACTTCGGAGGAGGGAGGGTGGGGTTCACTTCGCTCGGGAGCTCTCGAACGAAGTAAACCCCACCCTCCCCCTCAGAAATCGTGGGGGGTAGGGGTAGGGTTCGCATGTGGCCCCCTAACGATGGCTGGAGGCAGCATCGCGGAGGCAAGACCTCACAGGCAGGACTTCACAGCCTTGCGCCTCCAGGGGGGCCCGCGGGTTTTGATGCCAGAGGGTGCGCCAGGGTATGTCCCCTGTGGCAGCACGATGAGGGGGCCACCTGCGAACCCTACCCCTGCCCCCCACCACTTCGGAGGGGGAGGGTGGGGTTCACTTCGCTCGGGAGCTCTCGAACGAAGTAAACCCCACCCTCCCCCTCAGAAATCGTGGGGGGGTAGGGGTAGGGTTCGCATGTGGCCCCCTGACGATGGCTGGAGGCAGCATCGCGGAGGCAAGACCTCACAGGCAGGACTTCACAGCCTTGCGCCTCCAGGGGGGCCCGCGGGTTTTGATGCCAGAGGGTGCGCCAGGGTATGTCCCCTGTGGCAGCACGATGAGGGGGCCACCTGCGAACCCTACCCCTGCCCCCCACCACTTCGGAGGGGGAGGGTGGGGTTCACTTCGCTCGGGAGCTCTCGAACGAAGTAAACCCCACCCTCCCCCTCAGAAATCGTGGGGGGGTAGGGGTAGGGTTCGCATGTGGCCCCCTGACGATGGCTGGAGGCAGCATCGCGGAGGCAAGACCTCACAGGCAGGACTTCACAGCCTTGCGCCTCCAGGGGGGCCCGCGGGTTTTGATGCCAGAGGGTGCGCCAGGGTATGTCCCCTGTGGCAGCACGATGAGGGGGCCACCTGCGAACCCTACCCCTGCCCCCCAGCACTTCGGTGGGGGAGGGTGGGGTTCACTTCGCTCGGGAGCTCTCGAACGAAGTGAACCCCACCCTCCCCCTCAGAAATCGTGGGGGGTAGGGGTAGGGTTCGCATGTGGACCCCTAAACGATGGCTGGAGCAGCATCGCGGAAGGCAAGACTCCACAGGCAGGACTTCACAGCCCTTGCGCCGCAGGGGGCCGCGGTTTTGATGCCAGAGGGTGCGCCAGGGTATGTCCCCTGTGGCAGCACGATGAGGGGGCCACCTGCGAACCCTACCCCTGCCCCCCACCACTTCGGAGGGGGAGGGTGGGGTTCACTTCGCTCGGGAGCTCTCGAACGAAGTAAACCCCACCCTCCCCCTCAGAAATCGTGGGGGGGTAGGGGTAGGGTTCGCATGTGGCCCCCTGACGATGGCTGGAGGCAGCATCGCGGAGGCAAGACCTCACAGGCAGGACTTCACAGCCTTGCGCCTCCAGGGGGGCCCGCGGGTTTTGATGCCAGAGGGCGCGCCAGGGTATGTCCGCGTCCCTCTTTTTCCATTCCCTCCCCCTTCTTGCGCCTCCTGCCCCTCCTCCTCCACCTCCTCCTCCTCATCATCATGTTCCTCATCATGTTCCTCATGCTTCGCCATCCTTCTCCCTCACTCTTCCTTCGAGCAGGTTCGCGCCGCGTCGACGCGCCGGTGACAGAAGCCTGGGGGTTCAAGGTAGAACGCCGCCAGTGGCCAGGAATCGGCCGACATCGAATGATCCGCGCTGCTAATCGGAAAGCCGCGATCGTTCAAGGTCGAACGATGGTCCACGCGGTGCCGGAAACCAGCACCGACGTCGTCACGACACAAGCTTGCTGTAGCCACACTGGCGCAAGCCTTCTTCGCAGTCACCCTCGTCGCCCCAGCTCTGCTCAACAGGTAGCCTGAAGGAATCGGGTCCTGAGGGAATCGGTTCCTCGACCCCAGGGCTTTCCCCCGACGCCAGGCCTTCATCCCCAGTCGTCCTGTTGACGGGCCCCAGGGCCCTGGGCGGGCCCCTCGGGCCCGAGAACGGCGAAAAAACGCAGGACCCGGTTCCCTCAGGACCCGCTTACTTCGCGGCGAAAGCCAGGACGGGGTTCAGGAGGGAAAAACACACACAGACACAATTAATTGTCGATTCCCCAGAAAATATGGGAAAGTACGGGAAGTGGGGGGGGACGACGAAAATCAGAAAAGTATTGGAGAATATGGGGAATCCTGTTATTTGTGTGTATTTATTTGTGTGTCCCAGGGCCCCTTCAGTGTGGGCCCGCTCTTGGCCTGGCGGGGCTTCGGCGGCGGGGCGCGCGCGGCCCGGAAGGCGAGCGCGGAGGACACCGCGCTCTATAGATTGCCGCACCCTGCCCCGCCCGTGCTCGGGCCTGCGCTCCTGCGAGACTGCTCCCTCCTCTCTCTCCCTCCCTCCTCCCTCCCTCCCTCCCTCCTCCTCCGCCTCTTCCCTCCCCCTCCCCCCTCCTCCCTCCCTCCTCCTCCCTCCCTCCTCCCTCCCTCCTCCCTGCTCCCTCCCTCCCCGGGCACCTCCGGAAGGTCTCCACACGAGCGGAGGGCTCTCCGGCCGCCCCCGCGGCCATCCCCCTCCTCGCCCGCCGCCCGCCCGGGTGCCCCTGCGCCTCCCACTCGCCACGGGTGCGCACCACGCCGTTTGCCGTGCCGCCTGTTGGACCCAACCCGCCTGCTGGACCCCCCGCCGCCGAGGAGGAGGAGGAGGAGGAGGAGGAGGAGGAGGAGGAAGGAGGAGGAGGAGGAGGAGGAGGAGGAGGAGGAGGAGAGGAAGGAGTGAGAGGAGGAGGAGGAGGAGGAGGAGTGAGGACGAGGAGGAGGAGGAGGAGGAGGAGGAGGAGGAGGAGGAGGAGGAGAGGAGGAGGAGAGGAGAGGAGAGGAGAGGAGAGGATGAGGAGAGGAGGGAGAGGAGGAGGAGAGGAGAGGAGAGAGAGGAGAGTAGAGGAGAGGAAGAGGAGAGGAGAGGAGAGGAGAGGAACGCGGGGCGTTGTCTCTTCAAAACGAGGACCCAACACCGCAGGATGGCTGGGAAAAACCCTCTGGGCCTGCCGTGGGGGGCCCTCCCCCACGGCCCGCTGTAGCAGGCCTGGCCCCCGAAGCACGGCCCCGTTTTTGCTTCCCGCCCGGCTGCCGCTGCCCGCCTCCCACCCAGCTCCCCCTGGCCTTGGCATCGCTCGGACGTGTGCAGTTTTCCTCGGCGAGGACCATCGAGGAGCATCCTCGATCATTTGGCGAAAAAGCCACGCACGAAGCCGAAGAGAACACAGGGAATGGACGTCCGAGCGATGGCCAGCTGGGCGTCCGGTGAAGGCGCCGCGGCCACCGCGCGGCATTGGGCCCCCCAGGAGTCCAGAAGTCCGGGCTGCCCCTCGCCGCCCCCCGTCGCCCTCCTTCTGCCCCCCCCCCCCTCCTCCCCTCTATTGGCGGGTTGCCTGCCCTGACTCCAGATCCGCCGCCGCGATATCGTCAACAGGGCGGACATGCCCGCCCTGCTTTGCAGGCTCCCTGGATGCAGAGTTCCGCCCTGCTTTGCCGTAGCTGTTTCCGCCGTACCTTTGCGGG